TTACATGCAGTTTTCATTTGATTTTGAGGCAATTATATATGACTTTTGGAAGTGAAAGAAAGGGGGAAAATGTAACCCTCATGAGTGGCAGGGTGTTGTAAACCACAAAGAAAGGAAATTTGCCAGTTTGCATCAACAAGCAGTCCACAGGGAGATTTCCTCATCCCTGTCAACAGCCTTAAAAACTGCTACAATATCTTAACCATTTGCCTACCTGCATTCTTTATTACAAAAAGTGTTGAACAAATTTAAGAGCTGGGCAATTTAACTTTACATTTAGCCCAACAAAAATGTATTGTGTCAGGCACTGTGCCTGACTGAAGACATGAAAACGACCAAGAAGATCTCTGCCCTCTGGGAGTTCATTATCTGGTTCAGCGCTTTTCAAATTTTAGGACCCTTTCAAATTGCTTGGAGGGGTTCTGTGTTGGTTATCCATTGCTGCATAAACAATTATCCCAAAGAACAAACATTTATTATCTAATAGTTGCTGAGGGTCAGGAATTCAGAAGCAGTAAACTCAATGGTTAATTTTGGCTTGGGTCTCTCAGGAAGTTGCAGTGGAGATTTCAGAGGCTTTGGTCACCCTGGAAGACTCACAAGGCTGCTGGCCAGAGGCCTGTCCTTGGTCATGTGAGCATCTCTACAGATTAACTGCTTAGGTGTCTTCATGACAGGCCAGCTGGCTTCCCCCAGAGCAAGTGACTTCAGAGAGCACAGTGGAAAATACGGTGTCTTTCCTAACTTCACACTCAACAGTTCATGCGTGGAAAGGCTGCTCCCCACCACTGAGATGCTAAGAGGTGGTGGAAGTTTTAAACTTACCAGTGGGAAGTGACCAGGTGACTGGGTCACAACTGCCCTTGTGCAGGTCTCTTGGGAGTGCCTCAGTTCTGGTGACAGCAGGTTGTTAGAAAGAGTGAGCCTGGCCCCATGCACCCCTCTTACCAGGTGAACTCCGGTACACATGCTGCTGCCTCACAATGCCATCTGCTGTGCTGTGACACAGCCAGGGTGCACTCATTAGCCGCTGCTGCCATGCTATTTGGACCCTCTAGCCATTGGAAACTGTGAACAAAGTAAATCTCTGTAGGAAATATTCAGTCTCAGGTATTGTTATACGCAAAGCAAATGAAAGCACTGTGTTCTGTTTGTTAGAAATGAACAAATAAGTACTGCCCAAACACAAGGCAAGGGAAATTGAGCTCCATCAAATAGGAATATTAAGGAATTTGTGGGAATATACCCTAAAATGCAGATTCCAGGTGAGTGGGTCTAGGGAGAACCCCAAAATTTTGCATCTCCACATGCCATTGGCCTGTGGACCACATTTTAAATAGGGGATCAAAAACGTGCAAAAGACCCAGAGCTCAGATTGCCTCTTTGGAACTACACTGCTTGCAAGAATAACATCCTTTGTCATCCTCGAAACATCTTTGGATCATATCCAATTTTAAATTACATTTCCTCTGAAAGGTCAGAGCAGTGAAGTAAGGGAAAGATGAGATTACCTTGTTAATACACAAGGACAAGCTGAAATGGAATTAAAAACAATCAAAAGGGGATTCAGAAAATCTCTCTGGCCTTGTTCTGGAAGCTCTCAGAAGCATAAAACATCAGCCATCAAGTCTGAAGGGGAAGCTAAACAAACAGCAGCCAATCTGGGCTTTTAATAAGGATTGTACACAATGCCTTCATATGACTAAGATTCCTGCCAAAATTAGCTTGAATTTGGAAAGGCAAGAACCAGCACCAAACTCCAGAAGATCAAGGCTCCTACATGTCCTGTTGGCCTGAAGGTTGGTTGAGTTAAAAGTACTGTCTCTCCATTTAACAACCTGGATTGAAATTTGCTAGAGCATAGATTTGTACATTGTTTTGTTTTGGTATGATTCCCATGCCCAAAAATTCACGGCTTGGAAGGGGCCGTCCACAGCCTTAACTGTGTTCCCAAGGTTGTACAACAAGCATCCCTAACTAAAACATTCCATCACCGCATCAGTAGTCACTCCTTACTTCCTTCTAACACTCCCAACCCTGGGCAACCACTCGTTCCCTTTGGATTAGCCTATTCTGGACACTTTATAGGAGTAGAGGAGTAGATGGCAAGTGGCCTTTTGTACTTGGCTTCTTTCATCCCATGTGTTTTATAAATTGTGGTAAAATACACATAATGCAAATTTGTTTTACTATTATTTTGTTTTTTAATGTATTTGGCACAGGGTCTCACTGTGTAGCTCAGACTCAGTGGTCTTGTTTTCAGCCTTCCCAGCACTGGCATTACAGGAGTGCGCCACCACGCCCGGTCTGTAAATTTGTTCTAATCACTCTGCATTATACAGTTCAGCTGATACTGTTATGAAATCACCACCATCTATCCCCAGAACTGTTTCATCTTCCCAAATTAAAACTCTGCACCCAAATCTGTCCTTAAGATTCACCCACTCTATCACAAGTGTATCAGTCAGCTTTCCCGTGGTTGTGACATAATGCCTAATACTTGCAATTTAGAGTAGAAGAGATTTACTTTCTCTGTTTCAGTCCATTGCTGGTGGCTCCAAAGCAGAATGATCATGGCGGAAGAGCATGGTGGAGCAAAGCTACTCACCGCATGGCGGCCAGGAAGCAAGAGAGAAGGGCACCAGCAAGACGCACACTCTGAAGCCACACCTAAGGGACCACCTCCTTCAGCTGAGTCCCTCCTCCAAATTTAGCTGGGAACTTCAGTACAGCATCCCCATGATCTAATTCCTTCTCCAGAAGTCTCTTAATCCAGTCAAGCTGACAATCAGTATTGATTTGCACAACATGCATTCATAATTTATTCCTTTTGATAGCAGAACAATATTCCACTGTAAGAACAGACCACATTTTGTTCTTTAACAGTTAATGGGTCATTTGTATGCTTTCCATTTTATTATTATGAATAACGTTGCCATGAACACTAATGTACAGATATTTGCTTGACTATATTTTCCTATTCGGCTTATACCTGCCTGGAGAAGAGCTACATCATCTCAAAGCTATGTTTAATTGAGGAATTCTGAAGTTTTCCAAAGTGGCTTTTATCCCCAAAGCTTTACTTTCCAACCAGATTGCAGTTTCCCACATCATAGCCAACTATTTTTTTTTTTTTATTTAAATGTAATTGGTACAGGGTCTCACTACAGAGTTCGGATTTGTAGTGATCTTCCTGTTTTCAGCCTTCCCAGCACTGGGATTATAGGCATACACCACCATGCCTGGTCTCAGTGCACCTGGGAGTGGGGTTGGCACAGCATGCAGTACTGGGGATCAAACTCCAGTTTCTGTGCTTGCCTAAGGAGGTGTTTAGTCCACTGAGCTACCTCACCGACCCTATGGCTAACTGGCATTTTCTATCTTTTGAGCTGCAGCCATCATCCCATGATGTAGCACCTCATTCTTGTTTTCCCTAATGATTTAATGGTGAATCTTTTTATGTATTTATTGGCCATTTGTGTATGATCGTTGGAGAAATGACCATTAAAATTCTGTCTAGTTTTACAATTGGGCTTTTTGTTAAGTGTTCCTTATATATTGATACTAGTCCCTTACCAGAAATATGCTTTGCAAGTATTTTCTCCCATTCCATGGGTTAAGCTGGCTTTTCATTTTCTTGATTGCCCTTCTAAGCACAAAAGCTTTTAATTTGATGAAGTGCAATTAACTCTTGTTCTCTTTTGTTGCTTTTGCCTTTATGTGCTGATAAAATGCAAGTCATAGGGATGGGGATGAGGGAGACAGATACCTACAAGATGCAGGTCTTCATCACAAGCAGCCTGCAGTCTATTCTGGAGATCCTAGCCTCAAATACAGTAGGGCCAACTAAGCCCTAATCTAATTAAGTCAGAATATTTGGCCTACAAACCAAAAAACATTTGCAGATACAGGGTCTCATTACATTGCCCTGGCTGACCTCCAACTCCTGGACTCAAAGTGTTCCTACGTCAGCCTACCAAACAGCTGGAATGACAAGCGTACTCCACTATGCCTGGCCAAAGTGAAAGTTCTTAAGGGCTCCAAAGATCATTCTGATAATATGTAACTAGAAAGGAGATCTAGCTTTTTATAAATTAAGATTTGAAAGTTAGAAAATATTTCACCAATGTTTGAAGGTTAGTCAGTTTGGGTTCATTTTTTTGGTAACAAACCTTAGAAGAAATGATTATAATTCAACTCTGCAAAAGAATTCTGGCATAAACACTACCCCATCCCCCCATCTTAGTCTATTCTGGTTGCTAAATCAAAACGTCACAGACTAGATAGCATATAACCAACAAAAGCTAATTGTTCACAGCTGTGGAGGCTATGAAGGCCAAGATGCTGGCGGATCTGTGCCTGGTAAGGGTTCCCATTCTCAGAGTCAGCAGCCTTCTCTGGCACAGGGTGGAAGGGGTAGGGGCTTCCTTGGGCCTCCTTTATAAGGGCACCAGACCCACTCATGAAACTTCTACCTCCACAATACACCACCTCCCCAAGGTCCCACTTCCTGATGCCTCCACCTTTGGTATGAAGATTTCTACACATGAACTTTGGGGAGACACAGAGACTCAGAACCACAGTGCCTTCTCATCCATGCCATATGCAATTCAGAATAGAAACAATGGTCATCTGTGATTTACTTGATGGTCTTCACAGTCTTGCTTATTGAGCTTAATACCCTCATGTTTTAAATTACCATTTGTTATCAGGAAATTCAACTTTTTCTCTTAAAGAGAAAAAGATTCCAGCTGCTGGGTGTATGTGTAGCACAGTGGTAGAGCACTTAGGAGGCATGTTTAAGGTAAAGTTCTGGGTTCAAACCCTAGAACAACAACAAAAAATCCTACTTCTCATTTATTAATGATTCATTCTTAATGTTTCAGGACAAAAATAACTCAGAGAACAACCAAATAAGCAACTTTGTTTGCTATAATTTGAACACACCTGGTGAACTGTCGGCCTCATGGCATAAGACAACAATAACAAAACCAACACTGATGAGTTTTATTAATGAAAAAGATAACCACAATTTATTAACAAAATGCACACAGTAATATTTGTACAATTCCTTCTCTGTAAATGTCACATATTAACTATCTTTTATAGACAAGCAGATGTACTTTACAATCTTTCTGATAAATATATAGCTGCACGGCATCCAGCTTGGATAACACTCTTCAAGACGACATACGCTGGGGCCTATTAAAAACAAGAAAAGGCTGTGGGTGTAGCTCAGCGGTAGGGCTTGCCTAGCACACTTGAGGCCCTGGATTCAATCCCTGGGACTAGGCTAGCACAACACATGCATGTGTGCACAGACTCAGAGAGCAACTGAAGACACATGCTGTATGCTCAATTTGGGTTGGAAAATGAACAGACAGCTTCTCTGGATTAAAAAAAAAAAAAGATTTGAGAAGCAATTTGTTTTAATTTGGGGGCAAAAGCTATTTGAAAGATCACAATGCATCTGCTACTGCTACTGCCAAACCCTGGAAGCCTCCAGTTTCTCATGGGAAAGGGGAAAGTGGCTCATGGGGAAAAGACGAGGGATAGAACAAGGACTCCCAGTCTCGGTTATCTGCTCTGTGTGACATAACTAGCCCATTCGCTTTTGTCTACCATTTAAACACGTATGCAGGAACAGAAAGCTCTGCCTTCCGAACATGCCAAAGTACTATGAGCGATAGCAGGTCCCTACCAATTCCGCGTCATGGTAAAGGCCCGTGTCATGGTGCTCAAGCTCTTCATCTCGGAATTTCTTTATCAGCTGGTTCAATAGAAGAGATCAAAGCAAGTCATTATACTGTCATCTAAGGCCAGGGTAGAGGTACAAGTCCTGTGCAGGGCCAGAGAGTAGAACCTGTCTGGGTTAAGGTTTGCTATCAGGTGCTACGCAACCTACTATCATGCATTACTAACTTCACAAAAGCGTAAATAAAAGACAGGTTTGTTGCAATAAAGAAAAAAAAGGAGACAGAAAATAAAAAAATATATATATATGTATACACAAAAGAGTTAGGATAGATATACAGTTACTTTCTCTTAGTTCACTAAGAATAAGTTTGTATTAATATTGTTTAGATATCATGTCTGCATCTTGTCCTCTAACTACCACGAAGACAACAATATTCAATGTATTATAATTATTGTAAGCATCCTACTAACTTGTTTTGAAATTGTTTCATCGCTATTTTATCTTTTTTTCTCATTAAAATGAATAAAAATTTAAAAAAATAAAACCTGTTTTTGAAAAAGACTTTTGCTTTCTCTGGCTCTTTCTCTCACCCTCTCTCTCTCTGGCTCTCTCTCACCATCTTGATCAATCCATCTTATCACTCTCCCTTACACCCCCTCTGGCTCCCCCTCCTCTATTCCTCTTGCCTAATAATAGTCAGAGAGGAAACATTTCAAGCCTGCAGCCTGTATAGTGTCAGCTGCAACTACAGTACCCCACTCTGGCACTGTATTAGGAAAAGCAGCCCCAACATGCAAATGATAGGTGTGGCCAGGTTCCAATACAACTTTATTTACAAAATAGGTGTGGTCACAGGCCAGAGATTGCCAATATCTAATTTAAACTTTCAAAATTAAATAGTTCTTGAGTTTGATTCCCAGTACAAAAAAAAAAAAAAAAAAAAAAAAAAAAAATCTAAGGATAAAATTAAACAGTTCCCTTAGTTAGGTGTTCTTACATGCCTAGAATGCCAGCTCCCAGGACACTGAGACAGGAACATAACATGAACCTAGAAGTTTGAGGCCAGCCTGGGTGATATTATGAGATCCCATCTCAAAAAAAAACCAAACATCACTAAATTAAAAAATTAAAGTTTCCTTATGTGCTGTGAAAAGACCGCTGAGGCCGGTACCTCACACATTTAATCTAAATCATCACGCTCACAGCATTTGCTCAGAAGCTCCCAGTGATACAGAAGTAGAGAGACACAGGCGGGCTTGCTCAGGACCCACAAGTTCTAGTCATCACTGCCTGAGCTGTGTGACCAAGGCAGACAGCACCACCTCTCTGTCCCTTAGTCTGTCCACCTCTAAAATGAGTTGCTAGCCCTGAAGTTTCTGTCTCATCTTCCTCTGAAATTCTTACATTTTGCCTCTTTGGCAACTGCTCATCTGCCCTTCTCCTCCCACAGCCTGTTCAGAGTAGAGGCAGTCCATCACCTGCAGAAGCTCCTGGTATTTCTCAGGGTCCTCCTCCATCAGCATCCTGATCTGGTTGTTATAGTGCTGGGCTATGGTCTCTTCCACTGCCACGGTGCAGGCCATTGCGCCTTCCTTCCCAAGCAGGGCGGTTCCTGCTCCTGGAATTGTCAAGCACAGAAGTGAAGCATGGGACTGACGCCGCTGGTAAGGCAGATCAGTTAGGCCACGCTTTCTCAGCCTCAGCACCGCTATGCACGGTTGGATATTTGGCAGCTTCCTTGACATCTAACACCCAGGTGCCAGCAGCACTCCCTAAATTGTGATCCACTGGCCATGTCTTTAGATATTGCCATGCATCCTCAGGGGCCAAATTACTCTCGGTAGAGTACTGTTGAAGGTGGTACCACGTCCACTTGAGGCACACAACAAGAAAGCTTGAGGCACACAATAAGCAAGCTCTTCTCTTTCAATACATTTTCAGTGTCAGCAGATCAAGAGGAGGTGCCTTTGGGCTAAATATGTCTTTGATCTTCTATGCTATTTTTCTTTAGTCTCCCTTTTTTTAAAAAATGTATTTGGTTGTTGTAGGGTCTCACTATGCAGCTTGGACTTGTGGTAGTCCTCTTGTTTTCAGCCTTTCCAGCACTAGGGTTACAGACTTGTACCTCCAAGCAGGTACTCTGGCCAGCTCAGCCTGCCCTGGGGGTGGGGCTGGCGCAGCATGTGGTGCAGGGGATCGAACTGTGGTTACTGTGCTTGCCTAAGCTTGCCTAAGCAAGTGCTTCAGTCTGCTGAGCTATCTCACTGGTCCTAGTCTCCCTTTTAAAAGGACTAGTAGATCTCAGTTTAGAATCTGTGTCAGAGAACAGTACAGGCTGCAATTAAATTATGCCAGCTTATTCCCTGTGTTATGTTTTATTGTCCTTTCTAGTCATAAAAGTACTGAGTCTATTTTAAAGAAATTTAAGCAAAAAGAAAGAGCAAGAAATTCAACCAATTTGACTTTAGGAAAACGTTAAGTAAATTAAACAGGTTGTACAAGGACAGGGCAAGGGCTCTGGCTGAGGTATCCTGGTGACTCAGCACCCAGGTCCCTGAGCCCCACAGGCACTTCCGCACAGACACATACCCAGAGCAAAGCCCATCACATTCCAGAGAGGCATCAGAACTGTGGGCCGGACCCTGAATGCAACCATCAACTCGTTGAACTTTTTCAAATGGGCCTTTTCTTGATCCCACATTTTCTGTAAGAAACAAAAATGAAGACAGGCAAGAGGCCTCCTGTTGTACCCAAAGAAGGCTACAGGGCCTACCCACAGAAGCGAAATGGAAATGGAGGACACGATGAGGGCTGCTATTTTCTCCATTTCTGTAAAACATTAGATGAAAAAGAAGTTCTGGAGCAATTCTGGAAGTCCTCCTATGTAAATGTCTTTATGAGGTCTAATAATAATAATAATAATAAAAAGGTGAACGCTGCTGCCAAGTGCCCACCAAAGGAAAGGCAGGCTCACAAAAACATTCTGGTGTGCCTCATCCACGTTATTTACCGTATCTAGGACCATACAATCGCTGGTCCTTCCCCAAGATCAGAATGACCACACAAAGTAAACATTTTGACACTGAGATAGCCATGGTTCCATACTAAAAACTCACAGAAAAGGACTCCACAACCTCCACAGAAAGTGCTAAGAATGATGAAATAACTGGGCTCAGGGGAATGATTAATGGCAATGTGCCTTTTACTCTAGTAATTTTTAAAAGTTCACTATATTTTTTATTATGCCTTATGTATCTATCTGTGCTTACACACAAAAACAGTAACACGCTTTCTGCTTGCCATTTCCCGGAAGAGCCCATTTTCACTCTAAGGGTCAGCAGGCACTTCTCTTGGGAATGCATGCCCTGATGTGACTATTGTGGGGCTTCAGACCTATCCATTTGGGAGAGTGCACTACAAAGATAAGTAAGTGCCCACCTGGATGACTGGGCCCACACTGGTCCGGCCCAGGACGGCCATCTGCCCTGCGAGGATGCGATTTGCTCCATATTCACCTGCGTGATCCACCCGGATTATTCGATCCACAGCTGCCCGATTGATGTTGTCCAAGGTCATTCCTGAACTGCAAAATCTGATGCTGATTTTTTCCCCATAAACTGCAATGTAAATGTAAATTCTTCATTATTCTCAGGAAAAAAAAAATTGAGATGTTTTCTTTTATAGATGGATAAAAGGGACACATTAGAACAAAGGTCCCAAATGAGCTTTCTTTTTTTTATGTGGTATTTTCCAGTGTGGGACATTGTGTGTGGGACATTGTGTGTGTGTGTGCACGCAGGGTCTCACTATACAGCTCAGACTTGTAGTGGTCCTCCTGATTTCTGCCTCCCTAGTGCTGGGATTACAGGCGCACACCACTACGCCCGGACTCCATCACTGGCTCAGCGTGCCTGGGGGCAGGGCCAGTGCGGCATGCAGAGCCAGGGATTGAACCCTGGCCCCTGCACTTATCTAAGCAAGCGCTTATTCCGCTGGGCTATCCCACTGGCCCTCCAAATGAACTTTCTGAGGGCCGGACATGTCCATGTATATTGTTTCACCTGCAGTGTTAACAGGGATTTTACCTAAGGCTGTGGGTTCCTGGCATCACTTGAAATATATGGAAATCTGGAAATGCTAAGCCTGTGTTCTTGCCTGGCAGATAATGTGACAGCTGTTTCAAGAAGGGCGTGGTGTCCACTTTCCCAGGCTTTCATGCTGTACCCTTAATCTGGGCCACAGAACATCTGAAAAAGCTCTGCATAGACCTTCAAAGCCAAGGCTGAGAACCACAAATATAAGTTCTTGTAAAATTAAAGACACTAGAGGTATCTGATTTGGGGACCCCAACTTAGAATTTAAGCATTTTCTCATCATCTTCATATATATACTTCTTGTCTAGCAGACAGACCTTCTTCTGGACAGACTGAATTTGATCTGTTTTAAAATATCAAGTGGTTAATACATGAATTACATTTTCTTTGAGCCCTAAATCAGGGAATCCTAAAAGGTACTATTTTTTTCTCCAACATAAGGGTTTTGTAGTACACTTAGATAAGCCATGTTCATCTACAAATATAAAAGTGAGGACCAAGCTCCTCTAATTGTAATGTCAACTTTGACCTGCATGAGTATCACCTTGAGATACATTTCAGTACTCTTAAACTGTGGCTGCCATGTCTTTTTTTAGATCACTTTTTCATTTAGGCTAATTTCTACAGCCAGAAAATGTGAGGGGAAAAATCATTCTGTGTATTTCTATGGTTCTTTCATTTAAAAGGATGGAGGAACACAAGGTCCCAGGGCAGGTTTGGTGGAATTAGTGGTGGTTGTAAACTTGAACTTTTCTACTAAATGGAGTTTAAATGCTAGCCTTTAAACGAAGGAGCATGGACAAGGGGTTCTGTGGCATCGCAATCCAGCTTTGACCGTCTCTCCTCAGAATGGAAACAACCTGCTCCCTCTCACTGAGCACATCTGCTGGAGTCCAAGAACCTGACACCAAGAATTAGAGCCTGCATTTTGCCAAGTGCAACATACCAATCAGGTCTGTGCCATCAGACAGTGGGCTACTGTGTTTCATGACCATGTTTTATGTGGAAAATAAGTTAAGGCCTTGGACAAAGTCAAGGTGATCTGTGAACTTTTTGCCTCTAAGTCCAAAGGCATTTCCAGCAGACCTCCTTCCTTCCAATGGAAGTTGATGAGCTGGCTCTATTTCTCAAAATAACCTTGCTTGCTTGTTCTTTCACTTGTCACTACTCATCAAATACATGTAAATAGGATAAACTGGAACTCTTAAAAAACCCAAAACCTTACTGAGAAGAAGCAAGAGATGGATATGTAGGATGAGTTTAAAGGAACTGACTTTTTATAGGTAAAGGGAGGATTGTGTTTACATGCAAAATTCACTGGACCATTTCCTCACATTGCGTCACACTTCCAAATTTAAGGATTGAATACATCTTATTGAGGATTGGAGCGATGGTCTTGGGTGTGACCGTATCTGACACTTTATCTTTTGCAGTCTCTACAAGGTACAGACCTACAGTTTAGCACATGTGTGTCCTTGGGTCTGCCGATAGGAATCACTTTTGCTGCAAAAAAATAAAAGAACTATGTGCAATTAAAATAGAAAAAAAGGAAGAAAATGTATGTCAAATTTCTAACAGGAATCTTGAACCAATAAGTTTTACATAAAATTTCCAATATCAAGTTATTTTTTCAGGGAACACATACTATAAAACTTTTCTTACTGAGTTATTCTGAGGATGAAATCCGATGCAGGAAACAAAATTATAAATAAAAATGATTACTCTTTGGTTATGCTGCTCACCAACTCAGCAGAGGAGTACTGAACACATGACCGTCTGTTCAGACTGTACTGTTACATGCCTTAAAGTAAAACGAGGGCCTAGGGGCTGGAGAGATGGCTCAGTGGTCTAAAGCACCTACTTGGAACAAGCTAAGCTAAGCAAAGCACAGGGACCACGGTTCGATCCCCCAGCACCAAATGCCAGCCAGCCGCGCCCCCTGGTGGGCTGAGCTGCCCCCCCCACACACACATACACAATAAATGTTTAAAAAAAAAAAAAAAACTAGGGGGCCTAGCATTAAAAGTTCTCAGATTTCTCACTTTATATCTGTTTTCCCAATGTGTAGTACATGCTAATGCTAGTCTCTAGGAGACTTTAAGCAAGATACCAAAGACTTTAAATGGTTGTGGCTATGCATTAAATAATCCCATCTAGTTACAAGATATTCTTTCAAATGCTCTAACTTTTTTGATTCATCAAAGAAAATATCTCCGTTTACACATGGTATATCCTAAACCCTTTTGTAATACTAAAAAGATGGCCCTGGGTTCGAACCTTAATAGGTAACAGTATCTAATACAATTTCTTAAGTGTTTCCCTTAAATATACTTTTTTATGAGTGTACTTATGCAGTTAGGGCACACATGTTGGCTTTCCCTTTAACATAAAGACTTAGTTTCTGCGAAATTACTTAATTTTAAAATGGCTCAGTGGTATACAAAGAACACACAGAAGAACCAACAGTACAAAGGTCGCTAATAAGGCAAAACTCCGGGAGGTAACAAAGGTTTGACTCTGAGCACCAAATCCACCTCGTAATTTTCTTGAGGCAGCTAAGACGAAAAGGGAAACTCCCCACTCCAAATTAAGCGCTTCTTGCCACTCCACTGGTCTGTCAAACTTCACAGTGAACATTTCAAAGTACTGATGAAACACACACACCCACCAAGCAGGTCGTGGATGGGATCTGAGACTGCATTTTTAAGAAGTTCCCTGGGGACGCCGGCGCAAGCAGGGCTCTCTCTACACGGCCTGAAACGCCGCGGGCAGACAGAAGAGGACACTTGGGACCCTGAACGGCCAATGCCTCAAACCGCCCTCTGCCCGGAACACCGACCACGCCTGCAGTGACGCCACAGCACACGTGTGTCGTTAGGTCATAACTCGTCAAATCGGACCGGACGTCCCGAGCGTCACAGGCGAATCCCAGCCCCGACACTACCGTCACCCTCCCGCGTACTATAAGCCCCGCCCCGAAGCTAACGTCACGCAGCAGCGCTCCGTCGCACACCTGTGACGTATCCGAATGCCTCGCCACTTGACCCCTCTGACCCAGGTCACAAGCCAAAACTCCAGGCTCACCAGCCCCGCAAAGGATTCCAGCCGCGCGTCCCCCTTTACCTGACAGGGGCCGCCGGGCACCTGTGCACAGCCTCCATAAGGAAGGAGCTGCTGCCGCCCTGGCACAAATCATTGCCCAGGTAACAAAAGCAACCACTTGGTTGAGCGATGTGGGCCAATCGTGCTCTTGGAGCAGGCTGATGACGCAAGCGGACGTAAGGAAGATGCTAGTCGCTCCGGCACTAGCGAACCGCCCTCAGGCACGCGCTGCCTTTCGATTGGTTGGAGGCGATAAGTGACTGTATTCTATAGGAACACTGCTCATCAATCACTAAAGGAAGTTTAGGTTGCGATAGAGACGAGCACGCTAAATCGCTTTTTCAAAAATCCAGACAGGATGAAGCTCACCTGAATTCCTAGCAAAAGAGGCTCAAGAATTGACAGCCATTATAGTTTCAGTTTTAGGTGGAGGAAATTTTAAAAAAATCTATTGTGGTAATCTACATCCATATAAAAACAGGGACAAAGATTTTTATACTACGCGGGGAGGGCGGGGATGTAGCGCAAGCCAACAGGAAAGAGGAAGGGAGAGAGGGAGGGAGGGAGGGAGGGAAGGAGGGAGGTGGGCAAATGGAGTCCCGTATTGTTAAGTGGACTAACAGCTGACTTTAAACTTCTTCCTAATCCTTTTCCTAATTTCCTAATTTTTTACAGGGCATATATATTGTTCCCGCATTCCTATATTTGTTGCTGTGCGTGCATACTGTCGCAGATTTGTTTTTGTTACTGAAGGGAAAGGAAATGTAGCAACAGATACTTTCAAAAGCGCATATTCATTACTGTTGTGGGCCTACATCTAGGGCTCTGCCCAACAGAAGTCCTTTTTCAAATGAGAAATGTTTCTGAAAACAACAACAACAAAAATTGAAAGATGCATATCTGGCTGGGTGTGGTGACAAATGGCAATCATCTCAGCCCTCAGGGAACTGAGACACCAGCTTGAATATATATCTGGACCTTTTTTTTTTTTTGGTGGAACCGGGGATTGAATTTAGGCCCTTGCACTTGCCAGGCAAGCGCTTATTCTACTGAGCCATCTCTCCGGCCCTTGTCTCAAAAAAATAAAAAAATAGGGCTAGCTAGATAGCTCAGTGGATTAAAGCACCTGCTTAGGCAGCCGCAGAGGCCGGAACTCCATCCCCAACATGCTGTTCCCCCCCCCCCCCAGGACTGAAACTGGGTGTGGTGGCGCACGCCGGTAATCCCAGGGCTTGGGAAACTGAAAACAGGAGGATCACTACGAGTCTGATCTGTATAGTGAGACCCTGTACTAAATACATTAAAAAAAAATACAAAAAGATCTGTAAGGACACACAACAACAAAAGTCAATACTGTATTAGTGAACATCATAAGGTTGGGATTTTCAAATGGAAGTTTTCAATTTACATGTTTAGATTACTTATGTCTCCCAAGTTACTTCTGGTACTGGAGATTGGAACACAGGACTACATCCCTTTTCATGTTTTTTTTTTTTTTTTTTTGCGTGTTTCTGTGTTTTGATTTTTGAAACAGGATGTCAAGTTCTAGAGTATCCACTGTAGTCGAAATTAGGATCCTCCTGCCTTAGCTTTCCACAGTGCTAGAATTGTACACATATTGCACTATACCTCACTTATTAAGTTGCTGATTTTATATAACTGCAGTGTTTAAATTGGCAGGGTACAATTAATTTAAAATTGTGATGAACACAAAATACTTAATACTTTGTGACAGTCAAGGTAATGTAACATTTTAATGTAAAATTTGAAATCATAAAGTGGTAGAGCACTTGTCTAACACACACAGGGCCCTAAATTCAATTCCAAGCACCATTAAAATAAGAAAAATAAAATAAATACAACTAGCTCTCAAAAGCTTGAACATGCTCAAACCTTTGTCATAATCCCACATCTAAGTCTCTGTGCCTAAGGGGAAAACTGTTGACTGAGATGTATGAAATGTTGGAATTAAAAGTGTTAAGCAACAAGGGAATGTTAAAAACTATAATTTGTGGGGTTGGGGAGATGGCTCAGTGGAATAAGCACTTCCCCGGAAAGCATGAGGCCCTGAGTTCAATCCCTGGTTCTGCCAAAAAAAAAGCCCCCCCCCAAAAAAACCCCCAAAACTATAATTTGTATGTGTGCTATTTATATTAGCTAGCTGACTGAACTGTTTATAAGGAACTTTTGACAACAAAAGGGAATACAAGTGTAAAACAAATTAGAATACTACTTTTTTTCCTTTCTTTCAATCTTAACCCTAAAAAGCAGTTTTGTCAAAATTAACAGCGAAGGTACATATGTGGTGCTTAAGGCCCTGAGTTCAATCCCGGGTACCAAAATAAATTAGTAAATAAGAGCTTGGAGGAGTGATTTTAACTTTTTTCTCTGTAGCTGTCATTGTTCTCCAGATCAGCCCTCAAAATACAAAAGTGAATTTACGTATTATTCTTCTATTTTAAAGATAAAGGACCTCTATCTCACAGAGATGGCCACGTTTGTACAAAATTACCATTAGCCAGGCAGAAAGCCATCACAAATCCCAAGCAAACGCCAAGCGCTGACAGGAAATACACCACGTGGGACTTAGTAAAGCCACACACTACATAAAAGACACATTCAGAAGTTCTCACCTCCCAAAAGTCAAACTTTGTGGGGCAACCTGGCCAAACTAATTTTTTTGCTCTGTTGTCCTTAACACAACTGAGTGGCTACAATCCGAGTTACTTTGCAAACTAAAGATTTGCCTAACTGGATTCTTCTCTTTGCTGGGCTGTGAACATTTTGTGATTACAAGAACCTGCAAGTCTGCCTTTAAGACGAACAAGGGCCTACAGCAGAATGGAGCAAAACAAAATTGTCTGCGGGGGAGCTCTTGAAATTTCATCTTTCAGTGCTGATAGAGGGTAACTGGGACAAAAACAAGGCAAGTTTTCATTTGTGGTCGCGTACATCAAGCAATGGAATGCAGTGCGGCCATTAAAGAGAAAGATGTCGCTGCTTACAGAGATCTTCAGATATTGTTGAGGGGGAAGACGCTCAGAAATCTCTCTCTCTCTCTCTCTCTCTCTCTCTATATATATATATATATATATATATATATATGTCTGAATGTGTATTAAAACTTTGTGAAAGAATAAAATAAATATTAGCAGTGGGTTTTTTTTGAGAATCAGATGAGAAATTCTTGAAATAATTGCCTTTTTTAAGTTTAAAGTACACAAGCGCACTTGCCCTAGCTTCAGTAGAGCCAAGGAGTTTTAAAAGTATTAATCTGATAATTACATTAAACACTTGTACATCCCTCTGGTTTTAGGGAAAGGCGCAGAACAACTCTATAAACTATTACGGGTTTCCATGAGTACTTGTTTGCAGACAAGACACGTGTGAGTTCAAATATATACAATCACATTTGAAAGCCATCAAGACATTATTTGATCAGTAGTTTTAATGCACATGTTAAACAGCTTCACTTTAAAAATTACACAGATATCACCTCGAGTTATTAGTAACCAAAACATAAAAAATTCAAGTAAGTGGTATCCAAGTTAGCAGCACTTAAATTAACATGCTAACGTAGCATAAAAAGAAAACGGCAATATGTTTTTATTTTATACAATACACATACGAATAGAAGAAACCTGGCCTGTCCTCAGGAGCATGCTGACGCATGCAAGTACCTTACAAAGGTGCTGGACAGAAATGACAAAATTTGTTTTTTAAGTGAGGATGAAATGGACTTCAGATTACTTAAGATTTATACCAATTAGTATATCATTTAGAAACTCATAAACCTTAACCAGACAGAGAAAGATGGAAAAGTATGTGAGTCTCACTGGTTCGAATACATCCCATGTTAACAGTACTTTATGTGAGAGCTAGAAAATGGTTGTGTCGAGGTCGGGGAGTAGCAGGGTGGTACAAAATGAAGTGCTGGGGACCTGGGTTCTGCCCCCAGCACCACGGCACACACACAGGCATGTGGTTGTGACAAAGGACCCAGGAGCTAGAAATGTATCCGCTATGACAACTTTCTTTGCTTGCCAGAGCAAGGAGCAAGTCATCTAAGAGTAGCGGGGCAGCCAAGAGGGCGGCTGGGAATTATTCTTAGCTGTAGCTTTCTAAAAGCTCTGAATTCCATGAAAGGGTTGGAGCCGGCAAAAGGAAGAAAAACCATGGAAGGAAACTTGACAAAATACTTTACAGAGATTTTGAAGATATTAAAATGAAAATGGATTGCATTAAATAATAACTTAGGCTTCAATTAAATAGTTCAGGTTGTCAAATTTGGGTACACTTACAATGAGGTATTTATTGCATTTTTTACTCTCACAAAAATCTTAGATATTGTGCTTTGGTAATGTTTTGCATAATGAGGGCAATGTGCACTTAAAATTTTAAGCACAGGCACACAAACAGCAGCCTTTTAAAATGTGGCTATGTGTATTTAAGAAACCAGCATCCAATCTAACTTGATATACGTCACAGTCACAGGCTGGTGGGATGAAAGGCTGAGCCGGAACCCACACCCCAGAACACTTGCGCACTGCCTGGCTGCGAAACACTGTGTGTGTGTCCTTCAGCATGAACACCTCAGTGCGGGACGGGAAGCAGCACTCGGCAAGCCCAAGAGACAGACTATGCCGCCTCCTAATTTCCACAGAACAGAGTTCTCTGCCAAGTCTTGCAACTGTAGACCGACAGAAACTGAAGGCTTATGGGTAACTGAGGGCAGCTTTCCCCTGAGTAATAAAGAAGGCCACAGAAAAATGCCTAGAAAGCCGAGCGGTTAAGGCCGCCAACCTGCCACAGTCCTCCTCTGTGTGGAGGTTAATCAGGTACTGAGGGACTGCTTATTCACCCGGCAGGGACCGATTTTTCTCCCTTACTACCATGTAGCCAAAATTACACGACAATCTGCATCTTGTTCTTACCTGTTGCAGGCATTATGGTTCAAGGATTCTTTTCATTTAAAAATTCAGGTTTCATTTTAAGTCACTAGAGTCATTCAGAAAGGCCACAGCCTCTAAGGAAAGCTCAGACTAAATTCCTAGAACCATTTTGTTTTGTTTTGTTTTGTTTTTTAAAGCACCCAGTTCGGGGAACAGATGATCTTGGGTTACCTCTGAAAGACAACATAAAGCCACTTTTTTTTTTTTTTTTGCGGAACAGGGGATTGAACTCAGGCCCTTGCGCTTGCCAGGGAAGTGCTTATTCTACTGAGCCATCTCCCCGGCCCTAAAACCACCTTTTTAAAAAAATATAAAAGTCTCTCTTCGCTTCTTGTTATGAAACCCTGAGCAGCTAGAGGAGTTACTGTCTTGGTGGAGTCGTCACCGAGTTATCAGTATATAGGTAAAGACCTGGGTTTCAATCTGCTATTCTAAGTCACTACGAGCCCTCCCAAGGGGCTGGACACGGCCACCACAGCTGCGCACAGGTAGCTGATCTCTTTTAAATTCCAGAAAAATATATTGTAACATTTCCACCCAGAACCCAGGCAGTCTTTGTGGGGCTCAGCAGTCAGGAGGCCAAATGAGAAGAAGGCACAGCAGCATCTTCATGCCCAGCCTATTGGTCCCTCAGATCCTGTTGGGCTTCTGTTAATTTCTGGATAAGATAGCGCTTGTCACGACTTTCCTGAAAGAGAAATGAGTTCAAAGGTCAAGTTATACATTTGGACACAAATACCCTAATTTCTGTCACATGAATTACCTCTCGCTCTCAGGGCTAAGCAGTCCAACCACTGGAGTAGACCAATGGCATGCATGAGCTTGTCTCTTACTTGAATCCCTCCGAGTAGCAGCCAGGGAGCTTTTAAAAATGTGCATGGCACTCAGGAATATGAGGCAGGAGAACTGCCCTAAGTGCTAGGCCAGCCCAGGCTACATATACTAAGTTTAAGGCCAGCTGGACTTTATCTTGAAAAACAAAATGCAACAAAACCCAAGGAAACATAAACACACACACACGCACACACACACACACACACACACACGCGCGCGCGCACACACACACACACCATACACAGTGGTAGCTCAGCTCATGAACTTAATCTGTTCATGATTCTGGGGAAGAAGGCTGCTTTTGTGTTCATGTGAGAAAGACAGCTGTTGGTCATGGTCATCGCCCAGTGTGGAGTTCGCAAACAGAACCAAAACTTTGCCAACCAGTTTTGTTTGCAGACCCAACTACTATTCACAAACAGAAGTGTCTGTAAGCCGTCTGCTTTATACACTCCAGTGGATGGCCACCACACGCAGAATAAAACCCAAACTTTTACTGGATCCCCAGTCCCCACGATGGCCCTAGTCAATGTCACAGCATCCCTTGCCCCAGACCCTAATTCACAACCCTCCAGCCACACCAACCCCTTAGGGTTGTCCTCACACCCCGTGTCTTACTCTCCTCCCTCACTGAGCTTCCTTAGATCAAGTCTCCGCTCCACTGTCACCTCCTTAAGCAGACCTCCCTCACCCACCAGCAAAAGCAGTGACAGCCCACTCATCCCTCCAATACTTTATTTTTTATTATCTTCATGGCAGGTTTGCTTATCAGAGTTTATCTCTTCAATATTTAGCAATTCTGTCTCTCTTGGTGAAGAAATGGATGAGTCAAACAAATAAATGACGCCAGCAGCCAGGACAGAAGGCAGGGTAGAGGGAAGTGATAGATGCAGAGGCCACAGCAACTCTACTTCCTCCCTGGAAAAAGCATCACTTTCTGTACATTGTTCTAATTCACTGTCACCAACCATGATCCCATGTGGCCTGTGCCTGCTTACCAGAGATAGCTGCTCTCGGAGCTGCATGACCACCCGCTTGTGTGCTCCGGCCAGGGCAATGAAGTAGAACATGATGAGGCTGCAAGACAAGATGGCCAGGTCAGGAGGCTCGGTATCATCTGAGTGGCACTAGGAATTAACCCAGGGCCAGCAAGATGGCTTGGCAGTCTAAAGTGCCTGGCTAGGCAAGCAAGCACACAGGGACC